CTCAGGTGTATGTGGCTGGCGCCTTAGCAGCTTGAGCCACAGGTGCCAAGCCCATCCTCCTGGGTTTTTAACTGGGACTCTAGACACGGAAGGGTGGGACACTGAATGAAGAGACACAGCCTCATGTCTGGCCGCACTGTGAGTGTATGAGAGAATAGGACCTTGGAGAGCCAGGGTAACAGTCTCTATCCTTGCACTGCCCCATAGTCACCAAACTCAGTGTTCCTCTCTTTGCTGCTTCACTGCTTTTCAGTCACTCTCCAAATTACATAAGTCTACCTGGAAAAACAATTGAATTTTGAACAATTACGCATGTTATACTGTCAAGTCCATCCTAGTGCTTTCTGTGGTATCACAGTTTTTGTTTCTTTCAGGGTGGGAGACTACACTGGAAAGTAAGCAATTAAATCCAAATTCTGACATTCCTGAGGGAGAACCAGCCCACAGCCTGAAAGTACAAGAATTCTCAAGAGATTGTGCCACATCTTCCACCTCAGGAGATGTCTTGCAGCACATGGACCCAAATGTCACAGACAGAGTTTTGAAACAAGCGGGGTCTGCTCTGGAAAAAGTCCTCCCTCAGGTGGAGCCTTGTGAAAACCCCAAGTCCCAGGCAAACGCTTGTCTTGACACAAGTCAGGTTTTGCTCCAGAAGGTGTCTCCTAAAAAACGTTTGCACAAACGTGGCTCACAGGTTAAGAACATAAAACATAATTCACATATAAAACATCAGAATCGTTGTGAAAGACAAAAGGCCAAAGAAAGCAGTGGTTGTAGGAAAACCTTCAGCCGGAGTGCTAAGCAGATTACATTTATAAGAATTCACAAGGGGAGCCAAGTTTGCAGGTGTAGTGAATGTGGTAAAATGTTTCGGAACCCAAGATACTTTTCTGTACATAAGAAAATCCACACTGGGGAGAGGCCTTATGTGTGTCAGGACTGCGGGAAAGGGTTTGTTCAGAGCTCTTCCCTTACACAGCATCAGAGAGTTCATTCTGGAGAGAGACCATTTGAGTGTCAAGAGTGTGGAAGGACCTTCAATGATCGCTCAGCAATCTCCCAGCACCTGAGAACTCACACTGGAGCTAAGCCCTACCCATGTCAGGACTGTGGAAAAGCCTTCCGCCAGAGCTCCCACCTCATTCGGCATCAGAGGACTCACACTGGGGAGCGCCCATATGTGTGCCACAAATGTGGAAAGGCATTCACCCAGAGCTCACACCTTATTGGGCACCAGAAAACCCACAATAGGACAAAGTGGAAGAAGAAACAGCCTACTTCATAGCTCTCAAGCCAGTTGAAGGGACAGTGCCTTTTCAACTTGATCCTTTAACAGAACATGCATTGGATGGTTGGGAATTGGGACCGAATGTGAAAGAAGCAGAGGGAGGACATTCCCCAAACCAAAGAACCACTGGGGATACCACCATTCTTTTAATCAGAGTAAAGAAGAAAATGAATTGTCAATGTATTGGGGAAAAAAATATTTAATTTTTCAGTCAGTTGATGTGCTACTGTTTGCTCATTCAGTCATTAAGAGTTATATTAGTGGCTCCGCGCCTGTGGCTCAACCAGCTAAGGCACCAGCCATGTACACCTAAGGTGGCGGGTTCAAATTCCCAGCCCGGACCCGCCAAACAATGACGGCTGCAACC